GTAGTGGTTCTGGTAATACTGATCTATTGAGGTTCTGAAAACGAATTCCCATACAGTCCACCACAAGTGTAGAGTGACCTAGCACTGAGAAGTTTAGTACCCTCCTCCCTCAAATTTGTTGGTTTTCTAACTATGAGACTCTCTACTAGGTTGATTTGGTGGCTATGGTAAATCAACGTTTTGTTCCCAATTCTGTTATATATGCTAGAAAGATAATTATTTGGAACATATTTTTCCTAATAAAAGAAAAGGAAGAGTGGGGGGGTCCCATTAAGAATGATAACGAGTAGCATGTTTTGAGTAATGGGACACTCTCAAAAGAATGAGTCATAGAGTCGTGAAGTAATAATTTTTATTTTGTCGTTGTCTTCACTGTTTTAATGCTGAGAAATGCATAAAAATTTATTTGGCTGGGAGAAGTGGAAAAGACTTCCAAAACAAAGTGACAATTGCGATAGTTATAAAAAAGTAATTTATTGACAGTAAAAATAGAAGGGAGGCTTTGATTCAAGTGTTATCAAGGCTCAATCAGTAAAAATTGGTAATGGAGTAATGCTGGGAGTAAGATTGGTAAGGAGATGAAAATTTCATGGAATGGTTAAAAAAGAAAATAATGATATTAGTGATAACTTCCATGGAAAAGATACTACTTTCTTATTTGCAATGCAAATTGTAAGGTGTCTGTAGGAAAATATATCTCATTGGCCACCTTTCATTCAACAAGGAAGCTATTTGCACTCCAGTTTAAAGAACCATTCTGCTCTTGATTATCCACTCTCTCAAGTCAAAAACATTAGAACTTTTTATGTTAAAGCAGTGGTGTTTATAAAGGACATTTATTTCAGAATTTAATACTGCTATGACAAAATACCATCATTCAAAAGTGTTAAATGTATAATGTCTCAAAAGTACCAGAAATGTACTATGTATTAAGTGGATCTTGTGTTTCTTGCCCTGAACTTAGTCTTCTTTCATTTTTCCCTATCTTTTTGAATAGTTATATCACCCATTCTGTCAAAGAATCTAGAAACTAATCATCATTTCTGTTAAATCTTTTTTACATGTTAAAATTTACTATAAAGAGAACAGATTTCATGTATTTCATAAAAACAATTCTAATATAATGATACTTCCTTCTCACCCTTCTTCCTTCCCTCCTCCTTTTCTTTTTTTCTTTTCATTTTTTGCAGTAACATACTTTGAATTTACTACGTAATCACAGACTTAATACTCCTCTACATAAAGTGTTGTACAAGTGAAAAGTAGAAAGAACACAGTTCTGCAGGAATATAGACAAGTGTTATTAACAATAGTCAAATCACATGGTGTCAATTTCGCTTATATACATTAAGATTTTTTGTGTGTATGTACTCCATATGTTAGTTCCCACTTATCAGAGAAAACAGAGAAAAGACAAATATTGTTATTGCTATAGCTGCTAAAAAATTTAATCTTCTGTACGAGGCTAGAATCTCTAGTTTTCACTAGCACTGCAGTAAACTCAGTCTAAGTTTAACTGGAATACTGTAAATACTTCCTAAATGGCCTTCATGTCCACTTTTGTACCTATTTTGTCCATTTTATGTACTGCATTAAGTTATCTTGTCAAATATGGTTGTGTCAACTCACTGTTGTAAATCATTCAGTGATTTTTCTGGTGGACTTTGCTGTTGACTGAATTATGTCTTTTCAAATTTTGTGTGTCTCCAATATGACTATATCTGGCGATAAAATCTTTAGAAGGTAATTAAGATAAAATGAGATCATAAGGGTGAAGCTCAATTCTGATAGGGTTGTGGCCTTAAAAGAAGTGGTGCATTTCTATCTAAATCTTTCTCTCTCCCTCTCCCACCCACTCCCTCACCTTCTTTACTTCCCCTCTCCCTCTGTCTTCCATACTATATGAGAAAATGAAAAGGCAACCATCTGCAATCCATGAACTTCACCAGAATCTGAGCTGGCACTTTGATCTCAGACTTCTAGCCTCCAGAATTGTGAGAAAATAAATGTTGTTTAAGCCATGCAGTCTATGGGGTTTTGTCAGTCTAAGTTGACCAATAAGGTCTTCTTATTAAAATAAAATCACTAAGAATGGAGTGATATCACTTAAAAAGCAAGTCTTCTACCATTTTTCCACCCCTGCTTGCACTCTCCAGTCTATGGTTACAGCCACATCAACTTGTAGAACTGGTCATTTCCTTGAATGTCGGGGTCTCAAGCCCATTGCTAGCCCCTGACCAGCAAGGGCAGTGCAGACACTTCCCAACAAGGTGAATGGGAAGGGTAGGGTCGACGGATGATGAACACACCACAAGCACCGGTGAGTTCTGTCGAAGCAGGAACTGCTTTATTGAAGTGTGCAGGCATATAAAGCTTAGAAGGACATGCGCAGTAAGGGAGCCAATCAGAGAAAAGGTTACACAGGCATTGGTGGACCATGCACAGGGGCACCTTAAGTAAAGTATAGGGATCATGCACTGTCCACGTGTCCAGAACTAAAGCGGACCTATCCCTGACGGTGGTCTGATCTTACATAGCTTAACCTTGGCAGCAGCAGACACGCCCCTCGAACATCCACCAGGTGCCATATTGTAATGGAGAGTTTAGGCAATGCCCAACACTTGAACACATCTTATTGTTACCATATGGTCTTTTCACATGTTTGTTATTATGCCTAGGACATAATTTGCTTAGTTGACCCATTCTCATCCTTCATATTTCAGCTTAAGCATCACTCCCTAGAAGTCTTCCCTGACTCTGACTCCACCTGATCTCTATTCTCAGTTTCCCTTTACCTGTCCTCAGGGCTCATTTAATTTCTTATAAAGCACTTTTTTGTTTATAGTTATTCACATGTTTTTGTGGTTATCCATCTTTCTCTCTGGATGTATAAATGCACCAAGGACAGAAAATATATATATTTTGTGCTTATATATATATATATACTTGTTTTTACCAACCCCAGAAAATAGCACAATATCTAGCACATTGTAAAATTTCAAAAATAGTTATTAAATGAATTTTAAACTTAAATAAGCATCCATAGATGCTGAAAAATTAAGTAAGAACACATGTGAACAGAAGGGATTACCTTGAGGAAGCACTAATATTAATCTGAACACAAAAAGAAATTAAAAATGAAACTGCTGATAGCCTAAGAGAGTTATAATTCATCTTTGACAAAGATTTAGGTATTTAATATAAGAATGTTGAGTGAGGAGCTGATAGAAGAATGAGAAGTTGTATAAAGAAGCAGAAAAAATAATAGTAATTTTGTTTTTATATTTCCAAGGAGATTTTGTAGTATGAAATGTCAGATGTCTTGCATAGATCAAGTAAGATAAGAACTGACAAAAGATAAAGTGTCTATAGTATAAATAAATTACTGAAAATAAAAATAAATAATTGAAGAATACGTTTTAGGCAATGAGCCAGAAGCAGTGATTATGAAATATTCTTATGGAATGTTTAGGAATGAAGGAAAAATAGAGGAGACAGTGTTCATGTATCTCCTGTTTACTGCATCTCTTAATTGTATCAAGAAGCCACCTTCAGTGATTGACCTGTACTGAGTCAGATAGAAGGAAAATTTTCCTGGGACAGATGAAATGAGTGCTTAAAAATTATGGTGACAAAAAAAAAAATGACACACACACACACACACACACAAAGGGTGAATATCAGATAGATTGAAATACTAGAGAAAGGAGAAGTGGATGGAAGTAAGAGTGAGGAAGAAAATTTGGGTTAAAATACAAAAGAGCATTTCATTTTTGGGATAAATGAGAAAAAGAATGAATAGATAAAAGAGTCAAATTTTTAAATAAAAAAGGAAGAAAATTAGGAGAACATTGGTAAAATTGCATCAATATCAGTGAATTATGAGGCAAGATTATCTGCTGAAAATTCTGAATCCAAATGGGGACTGAAAAGGATTTTAGGGGGAGAATATTTTATATCAGATGAAACCATTTTAAAATTTATATGTAGGCAATTTTAGTAAATATAAACATTAGAAATGTATCATTTTGAAATCCCTTGTTGAAACAAAAGACAGTAAAGACTGTGCTATACAGAATAATAGTCCCAAAGATATCACTTTAGTACAATAGATCCTAATCCCTGGAATGTGTGAAGGTTACTTTATATGACAAAGGTACTTTGTAGATGAGATTACACATTTTGAGATTATCCTGAATTATGTTGGTAAATCCTATTGGTAATCACAAGTATCCTTCTAAGAAGAAAGTAGAGAGAGATTAAACTACAGCTATGTGCCACATGACAACATTAACAATAGACCACACTATGACATGGGTTCCATGAGCTTATGGTAGAGCTGTAAAATTCCAATCACCAGTGATGTCATAGCCATCATAATATCATAGTACAGCACATTACTCACATGTTTGTGGTGATGCTAGTGTCAGCAAACCTACTGCACTGACAATCATATAAAAGTATAGCACATACAACTATATACATTACATAATAATGACACTATATGGCTGTTTTGGGTTTATGTATTTTCTATACTATTATTTTACAGTGTACTTCTACTTACAAAAACGAAGTTTATTATAAACTATATTGTATTAAAGTGGCAGCAGCTTTATATATCTCCTGTTTACTGCATCTCTTGGTTGTAACAAGAGGGCACTTTCAGTGATTGATCTGTCCTATCTGGGTTTGTGCAAGTGCATTCTGCAATGTTCACCAAATGACGAAAATCGCCTGTTGGTGCATTTCTCAAAACATGTTCCCATTGATAAGCAACTCATGACTGTACAGAAGAGAAGGCAAGTGATAACTGAGTAGACATTGAAGTGATGTGGCCACAAGTCAGAAAGTGCTGGCAGCCACTAGAAGATGGAAAATTCCAAGCAAAGAATGGACTTTTCCCTAGAACCTCAAGATGAAATTATTTCTGTGTTTACATTTAGCCCAGTAAGAATCCTTTTGGATTTCTGGATGTAGAATTGTAAGAGAATAAATTTCTGAGGTTCAAACCCACTATATTTATGCTATTTTGTTCCTCCAGCAATGGGAAACTAACAAAGGAAATAAACCTGCAAGTTCATGGCAACAAAATATGTTTCTGAACAATTATCAGGACACACTGCGAAAAGTTACATTTAGGTATAATTTCTTAACTACATTGAATCCTTGGATGGTCTTAATGATTCCATGCTTTTCCCTAAAAATCTACTTTGATTTCTGGTAGCCTTAGGATACTCACTTGTCAACTACCCATATTATTCGAAGTAGTAAAGAAGGTGTTTTTAAACAGTCTTTGTTTGCCTTCATCTCAGTTAAACCTCAACAGTTCCTAACTCAAATAGACGATGAAGATTTTCATCCTGATTCTGAACAAAGCAGCTGTGGTTCAGTATTTCTTGTGTTCCACAGTCTAGAGATATTAGGTTAAGGGATGATGTCAGATAAGTTCATGTACTTGTATTTTCCCATAAGTACAAATTATACCTCTAGAAATAACATAAAAACAAGAACTTCCAAATAACTCTGCACACAGTTGAACATGAATGTGGATGTATACAAAATGTACTTTTGTATTGGGAAGCAACACCTATATATCTCAGGTCTACGCATTGTCCCTAGCCAAGGGAATAGCACACTAAATATGGCTCCTTCCCACAGCCTGCTTTCTTCAGCAGCTGCCTTCATCCCAGGTTGAAAGGAACTTCCTGGAAGCTCATTGGCCCAAAAGTAAGGAAATGGTTACTTAGCAACTGAGTCCTGACTGTCCCACCCTAGACCTGAGAAGAGGAATCCTGTGGGCCAGCCACCTAGTTCTGCCTGTGTTACAGTGAAGAGGAGCTGCTTAGGAGAAGATGAAGCCCTTGTCACTGTTAATAGAGATACTGATAATTCTTGGGGTCACAGTTAAAAGTAAGTTTTCTGTTCTTATTATTCTCCCTGAAAATCTTTCTTCTTTGCTCTAACAGCACTGAGGACTTAAACTAACTAGACAACCAGAAGTTAACAATGATATTCCCAATTAACCCCATTTTGTGAAAGTACTTTAAAATACCCAATGAGGATAGATAGTTGTGAGAAATTGTATTCGTACTTGGGACAATGCACGGGAAGATGTGTGTGTGTATGTGTAAGAGAGAGAGAGAACAAATATATGAGGAACCCATTACAGTATTTTTTACTAAGGAAGGCTATTGGAGGCAGGTTGTCAAGTGTTCTTTAATCTAAAATATGGATATCATGATGGGCTAGTTCTAGAAATTCTAGTTCTAATTCTAATTGTAGGAAAAATACAGGACTCAATTGGTTGAAAAATACTATTGAAAACTTGCTTATATTCTTTTTAAGTGTTTATAGAATAACATTCTACCTACAAGGTTTCAGCATTTCGTAAGCCTGAAAATGAATATTGTTTTCCTCTCTTCTTTCTTTGACCATAGCTTAACTTTTACTCAATCCTCATATAATTTACTCATAGATTCAATTTAAGGAATATTTATTTGGATTTAAACCAGGAATGAAAGCTTGTTTTACTATCCAAAAGTCAATTAATGTAACATCACGTCAATAGAATAAAGGGCAAAGACAACATGAACGTCCCAATCATGCATAAAAACCATTCAACAAAATTCAATAGGCTGGGCCGGCGCCGCGGCTCAATAGGCTAATCCTCCACCTAGCGGCGCCAGCACACCGGGTTCTAGTCCCGGTTGGGGCGCCGGATTCTGTCCCGGTTGCCCCTCTTCCAGGCCAGCTCTCTGCTGTGGACCGGAAAGGCAGTGGAGGATGACCCAAGTGCTTGGGCCCTGCACCCCATGGGAGACCAGGAGAAGCACCTGGCTCCTGCCTTCGGATCAGCACAGTGCGCTGGCCGCAGCGCGCCAGCCGTGGCAGCCATTGGAGGGTGAACCAACGGTAAAAGGAAGACCTTTCTCTCTGTCTCTCTCTCTCTCTCTCACTATCCACTCTGCCTGTCCAAAAAAAAAAAATTTTTCAATATGCTTTGTGACTTGGAAAAAAAACTCAGCAAAGTAGTAATAGAAGGAGACTTCCTCAGGACCATAATTGTGGTAGAGTGAGTTAAGCCACCACTTGCAGCACTGACATCCTATATTTTAGTGATGGCCATGTCACTTTTGATCCAACTTCCTGTTAATGTGCCTATGAAGGCAACAAAAGATGGCCCAAATATTCAAGTCCTTGCTACCCAGGTAGGAGACCTCAGTGGAGTTCCTGGCTCCTGGCTTCAGCCTGGCCAGCCCTGGCTGTTGCTGATGTTTGGGTAGCAAACCTATAGCTGGATGATATTCTCTCTGTCTCTTTCTCTCTCTCTCCCTCTCTCCTTCCTTCCCTCCATCCTTGTTACTTTGCCTTTTAAATAAATAAATAAAGCTCTTTTAAAAAAAAAATGAGACTCCTTCAAGCTTATAAAAGATAGCCTTGAAAAACCCACAAGTAAAATATTAAATGGTGAAAGACTAAATGCTTTCCCACTAAGGTCAGAAATGAAACAACTTGTCTATTTTTTCCATTTCTGCTCAACATTGTGTTGGAATTTCTAGCCATGGCAGTTACACCACAGAAAGAAAATCAAGATTGGAAAGGAAGAAGTAAAGCCAAATTCACAGATGGCATGATCTTGTATACCAGAAATACTAAGGAATCTACTACAAAACCATTGAAACCAGTAAATGAGTCCAACAAAATTACAAGATAAAATATCAGTGTGCAAAAATTAATTCTATTAAGTAGCAGGGAGTAATCAAAAATAAAATTAAGAAAACAACTCCAGGGGCCAGCACTGTGTCTTAGCAGGTAAAACCGCCACATGCAGTGCCAGGATCTCATATGGGCACCAGTTCGAGTCCTTGCTGCTCCACTTCTGATCCAGCTCTCTGCTATGGCCTGGGAAGACAGTAGAAGATGGCTCAGATCTTTGGGCCCCTGCACCCTCATGGGAGACCTGGAAGAACTCCAGGGTCCTGGCTTCAGATCAGCCCAGCAACAGGCCAGTTGCAATCTTTTGAGTGAATCAGCAAATAGAAGACTGACTCTTTCTTTCTCTCTCTCTCTCCTCTCTCCCCTCTCTGGAACTCTACCTTTCAAATAAATAAATCTTTTTTTTTTTTTAATTCCATGTATAATAGTATCAAAATGAAGTAAATATTTGGGAATACATTTTAAAAGAAATGCAAAACTTATACTCTGAAAACTACAAAAATTGTTGACAGAAGTTAAAGAAGACCTTAATAAATGAAAAAATATCCTATTTTAATGGTTTAGAAAACTTAATATTGTAAAGATGATTGTATTCTCCAAATTGATCTACATATTTGGCACAATCAGTATCGAAATCCTAGATAACTCCTTTGCAGAAATTGACTAACTGATCTTAAAGTTCATGTGGAAATAACTGTTCTTTAAAAACGTAACAAAGTTGCACGACTCATATTTACCAGTTTCAAAACTTTCTACAAAACTACAGGTAATGAAGACAGTATGGTGCTAGCATGAATATAGAAATATGTCAATGGAATAGATTTGACAATTCACAAGTAGACCTTACATTTTTGACCAATTGTTTTTTGGCAAAGATGCCAAAATAATTCACTGTTATGGAGAGAACAACTGTATAGCCATATACAAAAGAATGAATTTGGACCTATACCTCATACCATATAGACAAATTAATCCAAAATGGACCAAAGACCTAAATATAATAGCTAAATATATAGCTTAAAGATAACATAATTTGCTGACCTTGAATTAGTCAATGATTTCTTAAATAGGTTAGCAAAGCACAACCCAAAAAAAAAGACAGATGAACTGGACATCAAAATTAAAACATTTTATGCTTCAAAGGATATCATCAAAAAATAGAAAATACAACACACAGAATAGAAGACAAGTTTTGCAACTCATAGAACATAAGAGTTTAGTATTTGGAATATATAGTACCCTTACAATTCACCCACAAAATGTCAAAAAAAAAAAAACAGATATGGGCAAAGGACTACAATAGACATATAGACATTTATCAGAAGATACAGAAATGGCTAAGTACATGAAGTGTGTTCGATATCACTGGTCATTCAGGAAGAGCAAGCCAAAACCTCAAGTGAGATACCATGTCACAGCAAATAGGGTGATTATAATTTTAAAAATGGAAAATAAGAAGTTTTGACAAGAACATGAAGAAATAGAAAGTCTCATACCTTGCTGGTCAGAATATAAAATGACATAGCTGTCGCTCCCCCTCTCGCGGAGGAATGACACCGAACCCTGCGCTGTTCTTTCTTGCCCGGCCCTTCCCGGGTTAGCTGCCGTTCGTTCCCTCACTCGTGGAGGAACAACGCCGTCCTGGGTTAGCTGCCGGCCCCTCCACCTCCATGGAGGGGCGGCACCCCCCCCCCCCCCCGCCGCCGCCGCTTTCCCCGCTTCCGCAGAGGAGTGGCACACCGCTGGCCGGCTCTCTTGGGGGCTGCTCAGATGTTCCTCAGGTGTTCCTTCAGATGTACCTGGTGCATGTTGTCTCTCTCCTCCTTTATAGTCCTCTTCCACCAATCCCAACTCTGCTGCCCACACGCCGAGCACGCTGCTCTCCTCCAATCAGGAGCAGGATCAGCTTCTGCAGCTTATTGGTCGAACTGGAGGCAGCTGTGTAGAAGTTGTTTGGTCTCTCTCTCAGCGCCATATTGTGGGAGAGCAGATGCATAGAATAAGTCTTAATTCCAGTAACTTAGTCTAGTCTCAGTTGCTCCCCACACATAGCCACTGTGGAAAACAATATTATTCCTCAAAAAGCTAAATAACTATTTACAATATGACACATCAATTCCATTACTAGGTATAAACCCAAGAAATCATATATATATTTTATAATTTAATGTATACATCCACACAGCAATTTGTTCACAAATGTTTATGGAATCATTATTCATTATACCAAAATGTGGAAACAGCACAAATAGTGATCAAAGGATAAGTAGATAAACAAATTGTTGTATGTATGTACATTTTATTCCATTATGAAAACAAAGTACAGATATGTTCTGCAACTGGGATTAACCTCAATAATGTCATGCTACTTAAAAGCTTGCTTCTACTGCCCAGCAACACTAGAGGATATAATAGTGCATATCACTAGCCCAGAAAAAGATAAAAATTCAAAAATTGAAAGTATGGATTCAATTGATTGTGTATTAGTTTTCACACCATCATAGAGACAAGTCTTGTGCGTTGAACCATCCAGGTGAGAGCATTTTGGGGAGATTTGGGCCAAAGATACTGGGTACAGCTGCAAATGCCTACCTAGTGATATTCAGAAAACCTCTATTCACTGAAGACTATCTCCTATCAAACCCATATCCAGGGGCCGGTGCTGTGGCTCACATGGTTAATCCTTTGCCTGCGGCGCTGGCATCCCATATGGGCGCTGGGTTCTAGTCCCAGTTGCTTCTCTTCCAGTCTGGCTCTCTGCTGTGGCCCAGGAAGGCAGTAAAGGATAGCCCAAATGCTTGGTTCCCTGCACCTGCATGGGAGACCAGGAAGAAACACCTGGCTCCTGGCTTTGGATTGGTGCAGCGCTGACTGTAACGGCCATTTGGGGAGTGAACCAATGGAAGGAAGACCTTTCTGTCCCTCTCTCTCACTGTCTATAACTCTACCTGTCCAAAAAAAAAAAAAAACATATCCAGCAATACCCATAAATATCACTGGTGGAAAGTTCATGTGATTAGCAATAGCATTCATAGACAGGTAAACAGGGAAAACTCAAGCCCAATTTGAGTACAATAAAGAATCACCAAATAGTGGAGGAAAACTAACAACACAAAATAAAAAACTCCCTACACTTATACATATCAGTAACAAAACAGAATTCATAGACCAAAGAAGACTTTAAAACATAAAAT